CCCTCTGGGATATGGGGGACACCGTAACACTCCTGATGCACAGCGAGATTGCACATGTCACAGAATAGAATTGCGTTACTGTTCTGGCACTCACCGTCCATGCAAATGCAGCAAACGGCGTCCTCGTCGATAAGTGGCTGCGGATCTCCTTGGCCCTGGCTCTCGAAGAAAGACTCCTTCTCGAAACGGTCCATGAGGAACTCAAAGAGGTTCTGAGAGACCTGGCTGTAGCCGTCGCTCTTCCTCTTCTCGTTGATCAGCTCAAGCCAGGCGTAGTCTTCCTCGTCCATGTCGTATTCCACCTCTTCGTCGAGCTCGTCTAGCGTCTTTTCCACGTAGGTGAAGTATGCAGACGGCCTTCGCGGCACAGCTGGGAGGTTGTACTCAACCATCCGGATCTTTGGCTCCGGGAGCCTGCCCTGAGCTGGCGAACCCTGCACAGTCGTCAAAGCGACGCCCTTTTTCTGCTGGTTGTTTTTGAGCCGCACAGAGCGCACAAGGACCTGTTGTGGCTTCTCTGTGTTCTCCTTGTTGCTGGTGCATTCGCTGATCTCCTGAGCTAAAGGGTCATCACTGTCGATGACATCCAGTTTGTCGTAAATGCTGAGCCGATGAACGCGGCCGTCGATCTCGAGCTCGACCATGCGCTGAGCCTCTGCATAGGTCAAGGTCTCGCGGTTGCGTGAGGGTTTGATGGGAGAGGAAGGCCTCTGCGGGGTGGCGACACGATTATGTCGAACCTTCTTCCTCATTTTTAATGCCTCAGAGGAACTGAAGTACAAGAAAAGCACACATCAACTTTTAACTGTTTCAAGCAACAATTTGTATCCCCCACAGATTATATTTCATTTTGAATAAAAAAAAGTTGCCCATAAATCTCCAATTCTAGATTGAATTACAAACATGCATGCTATAAAACCAATCCAACACTGCAACTACACAGTAAATGCCTGTTCACACAAAGACCAATAACTAGAAAGATAACAATAACTATTTTAGCATCCAGAAAAATTGACAATCAGCTGGAAAAATATTGTTCTGAAAGTAATTGCGACAATACTTTCTCCTCCTCCTCTGAATACTTGCTCCTCTGAGTAGTTATTGTTAAGGCCTGTTCACACCAAGGGCACTAAATTAACTTAAAGTCCACATTACAACTATAATGATAATAAAGAGGGATGGTATCATTGCCATCACTTTCAGAACAATTTTTTCAGCTGATGAATAATAACAGTATCCACCGACTTTAAGGAGCTTGAGCATTTAAAAGCAGCAGACCGCGTATAATAAAAAATTATCTTGCGTAGGTTTTTTTTACAAAATTAATACATACTTTTAGGGCGTAGTACAAGTAGGCGAATTGAGACGCAGGCAGCACAAGTGTGCCACACAAGTCCTGAAAAGTTAACCCAAAACGTTTCGATCGCCCCCAAGTGGTAAGAGAGAAACTAAATCAAATTACACTTCAAATGATTTTTTTCCAAAGATGGTTTCTATCATTTTAGATAGTTTTGTCCGGCTGATGCAAGTACGAATGTTACTTTTTTAAAATTATTTTTAGTTAGTTATTTGATGCTATAACAACGGGAGTGTGACATCATGATTGACAGCTGAGATTGACAGCTTCTCTGAGCGAAGTAATCACTGAGGCACCAACAGACTTTTGGGGGGATTTTCGGGAGGAGTTCAGAGCTATAACTTTAATTTCTACATTTCCATAACTGTTTATTTCACAACGACATAATGAGTTGTTCTGCAGTAAACTGTACTAACCGATTCTGCAGGAGTGTGGGTGGGCCTTGATATTGCGGCTCCACTTCACGCTCACTACTGAGCAGACTCAGGTCACGAATCAGTACAAGATGTCAGCGCCATTGGGACATTGGTGGCTTGACTGGCTTCGCTTTTCTACAACGGAAGAGAGTTAAAGGTGCGTTGTTCATCTTTTTGTACAGTCTATGTTATAGACGTGTTGTCGATTTCTCTATTCTCCTAATGAATATTAAAACTTTACAGTTAACGTTAGTCACATGCTTGGCGTGAACAGGCCTTAATGCTGACTTCACGTGCTATTGGTATTATCATAAATACGAGTTTGCTAGTGGGAAATTGGACATGAGAACCCACTCAAATAATATTTAATACTGGGAAACCGAGATGACTATCTAGATAGCGCAGCGAATGTTTATATTGTTGTCAACGAATGCGATGCTACATTTTATACAAAATAAGCAAGAGTAAACCTGGTGTCATCCATGATATGCATTCTTTCCGACAACAAATCACATGAGGTGCGTTCACGCCATGTTGTAATGACGAGATTTCAACTTGTAAAAAGCGTCCACGTCCTCGTAATTACAGTTTGTAAGATGGGAATTTTCCGAGAGCGCCTAAATGTTACCTGTAGTGTACCACGTGACTGATGATGTACAACCTGACCGTTACAAATTATGTATGTGTTGATAGTGTTGCCGTAGAAACAGTCCGAGGACGTGAACATTTCCGAATAGAACGTCACGTGTTGTCATCTTGACTTGTGACATGGTGAACGCAGCATTGAACGACGAGCCCAAAATCAGGACTTCAGACGTGGGAAGTAGGGCATTTCCGATAGCACGTGAAGGCAGCATTACTGTAGTAGTGTAAGTCTTACACTACAGTAATGCTAAGTATATATCCTATCCGGTATCCATGGCAACTTAAACCCAAGTTTGAAACCGTTGGCATAGAAACAGAAAACGCTTGCGTTTGTGTTGTCAATATGTGCATTTCGCCATCTGACATTGTAAATAATACACGTAAAAACGATATTACTGATACTGCAGCATTTAACGTAACTGCCAATTTGAGTATTAATTTACTATTTTATTAAAATCCATACCTGACTTTTAAGCACCGCAATCTGATACATTAACCCGTTTAATTAAGGCATTGGCGTGTAACAACAGATAACAGCGTCGATTTGCATCCAGGCTTTTGTTAGTTTGAAGGGGGCAGGGCAGAACAAGGCCAAACACACTGGACTGGAAAGAAAACACACTCAAACTGAACAGCAAGGACGCACACGGTATCCGGCGGCCTGCTGGTGGTTGTGCTAGTGAGCTAATGCTGTTTGGAGAGAACCACCGACATTACTGCAAACATGGCGTCAAACAAAACAAAACAGGCGCTGTAAAATATGAATACACACGTATATTTCAGGCTGCAAATATATAAATAAACCCAAAGGGGCCTTGCGGTTTGTTCTTACCTTCGCCGTCGACGTTAAAGGAAGCTTTAAAGGCAGTACGGCCGAGCTAAAAGCAGCAGCGGTGTGGCCTACTGAGCAGCAGTAGGTTTAATCCGTGCACGAGCCGCGCTACCGTCCACCAGCCGCTTCTCCGTTGTATTCCGATGGTAATATGAGGTATCCGTAACGGTCTGCCGGATCCAAATACAAGCATTTAAAAGCCGGAGTTACATGCTTAAGATAATAGCTGCTCGACCATGCTAATGCGCCTGTTTTCGGTCGTTATTGGGCTGGCCGTATGGACACTATGCTAGCAGGCTAGCTCGCCTCTCTTCCCCCCACAACAATGCGGCTGCAGCTCTCCATCGCCTTACGCACTGCGTCATCGCGCACGGCGCCGTACGCATAGCGTCATTACGTTCATTGTCAAAACAAGGAAGTGGACACCAGGCAGCGCCCCGCCTCTTGTCTTCTTTTAGATTAAATGCACAATAAATAGTGTGTTCTTCTGTGTGATTCAAATTGTTGGTTTATTCATTTTAATTCACTTTAGACTGTACATTGCAAAATAAAGACCACAATTAAATGCCCGTTTATAGAATATCCTCGCCTACTATAGCTGCCTTTTATGTGTCGGGTCTGCTCTGTACCAAAAGAGCGCAGCTCTTATTGTTGCTTATGAATAAATGCGCGTGCGTGTGAGTGTGTACTTTTTTTCTTGCGGTATGCTCAGCTCTAAAATATAGGTTACTATATGGCCAAAAGTATGTGGACATTCTAGTCGAAATCTTTTCAATTAATGAATCGGTGATTGAATCATCTGAATAAATGAGTGGTTTTGTCTGAGTTCTAAGGATTTATATAGGCAGTAAAATGGATCTACGCTAATCACAAATCATGGGAAAGTCACTTTGTGGGTGGGAAAATTGGGACCTAAAATTAGTTTCGCTACTAGTCTAAAGTGCTTGATTTATTGAAATAGGCCTATCTATCAGCTGTCAACTTATTATCAGGTTTATCATTATGATTATGGTCTTATATGTTAATGTAAATCCTAGGCTAAAGTTGATTACTGGTAGTTATCTTGAGTAAACTACTCCAGTCACAATACAGGCACCATAACAAAAGGCAGGTCTTATATAATTCCAGTTTAGATGACGATTTAAGGTTTATATGGCCTATACTGTAATGGGCATTACGTGTCAAATTAATTTAGTAACTACTAGTAGCCTATATTTGATACCTTAAGTAGGTTGCTACAACTAAACTTGATTTCAGGTGATTCTACATCTGAATCATGCATTACATAACAATGAATCATTAAAATCTTATTCAGCTTTTTGACGGTAATACTTTAACGCCAATGTGTCATCATTGCATTTGCATACTCTGTTGACTAACGTGGGTAATATTAACTATTCATCAGGATTTCTGGACATTTCATGGAAGGGGTGAGTCAGATACACTATCTGTAGCTTCCTCTCTCAAGCTCAAATATGGGAATGGACTAAACTGAATTGCAAAATTACTTTAAGTAATAAGTAAGTCACATTATACATTTACAACAAAATATAGTTACTTTTCAAATAAGTAACGCAAGTTACTTTGTTTTCCCATTTATTGACTGAGAAATCAGGAGTAAGTGCAGAGGCGTTATTATCTATTTTAAAAACAGACACACCAAACATGTTACATATGAAAGGAATTTATTGTGTCCAATATAAAAAATAAATGTTTCACCAGTTCAAAAAAAAAAAAAGAAATCCACACTGTCACAGTGGAAGGACTAAAACACATTTTTACTTCCACTTCACATGGAGAAAAAAACTGATTCTAAATTTTACACTACATCAGAAAATGGCATCACTAAACATCTCAATCTTATATTTGTATCAGTATTAGATAGCTTTAGCGTGTCTATTATCCTTTAGGTCAGTGTTTCTCAACCTCTCCTGCAGGGACCCCCTGACAGGCCATGTTTCTGTTTTAACCCTGAAATGGCACACCTGATTCAAGTCATTAAAGGCTTAATGAGTAGTTGACTAATTGATTAATTGAACTATTCCTACTCTAATTACTCATTAAGCCTTTAATTACTTGAATCAGGTGTGCCATTTCAGAGTTAAAACAAAAACATGGCCTGTCAGGGGGTCCCTGCAGGAGAGGTTGAGAAACACTGCTTTAGGTTAAACTAAAGATAAGCACAGGGAACCCTTACATTTACAATTTACTTTTTGCAGATGGTATAAAATGAATAAATAAATAAATAGCCACTGAATGTGGAATGTTTGTATTGCATGAATAAATAAGATACATGGAAGTTAATGTACATACATACAATACAAATTCTTGTATTTAAAAATAAAAAAAAGTTCAAAAAAATTGAAATTAGGAAAAGATAAGTGAGTCCATGAATATTGCATTGATTGTGCACATCACTCAAGTCTCTGCCAAGCAAAGTCTAAAAAGCGACGTCAACAGAGATGTAGTGGAAGACGTTCAGAAAACAACAACAGAAGGGAAAACCATCTAAATAGTGTATATGAAATGGCAGAGCAGCAGAGATAGTGTTAAGAGAGTAGTAAGTGTGTACTTCAAGTATTCGACCACTAGAGGGCAAGGGAGACCCACCACATAACTAGATACAGTCTTTGAAGGTTCCCATGAATCCAGGGGAGTTCCCCTAAAATCCATGAAAATCCACCTGGCGTCTGTCGTGACTTGAATCCCATAAAAGCAGCTTTCCAAAAAAGGCACCGAAAACTAAAAAGATAGTCTAAAAGGAAAATAATGTCCAAGCTCTATAAGAGCAAACAGTAAGATCAAAGGATCACAAGCATTGCTGCTCACGCAATCCCTACGGGTAACAACTCACCCTTAGCAAGAAGAAGAAGAAAAGAAAAAAAAAGACATTTATGTAACATAAATCAAAGTCCTGATAACCAACAGACTGGGAACAAGGGCAAAAAGGTCTCAGAGTCCGTTCACTCGGTGTCCCCGCATCTGTCAAAGGCTTTCTTTGCCCGATTCTGTGCTGATAGAGTGAAGTGTGATGTCGACGCTTTCTGCTTTCGGGCTTTCCTCCGTCCGCATCCACTGATGCTCAAAGATCTGCTCCAAAGTGGGCCGATCTGAAGGTCTCAAGCAGAGGCACCATTTGATGAGCTGCTGGCACACTGACGGACAGAAAAAAGCAGCAAGGTTAATCTTCTCATCTACAAAAGGGTTTAAAACTGAAAGATCAGACTGTTTAGAACGTACCCGGAGAGATTCTTCTTCTGAAAAAGAGCCGTCCTCTCAGGATCTCCTCGTCGTGCTCAAACGGGATGTCGCCGCACACCATGTCGTACAGTAGGACGCCAAGGGACCACACGGTTGCCGAGCGTCCATGGTACCTGTGGTAACGAATCCACTCTGGGGGGCTGTACACTCGCGTGCCTACAAAAACAAAACATTTGTTTTTCAATCCTGTGTGGATGGAGATTTCTGGCTCATTTCATAAATCACCCTTTTTGGCGTAAAAAGCACCGATTTTGATTACACTGCAGCACTATATAATGAGCCACTCTAGTCAGCTGACTCTAGCAAAGGGGGCGCCAGCGGTCTGGCGTTTGCACAAACGCTCCTCCCTCCTCCAGTCTCGCTGTGAGCCCGGAGAACAGCTCGTTCCAAAAATACAAGCAAGCTGAAACAGGAGGGGGATCTAAAAAGGACGCTTTCAGGTACAAACAATCACAAGCCATGGCAACTCCCCGTGCTTTCAGCGTGAGTCACTTCCCCCAACAAAAGCACCTTCACTAGGGGTTGGTGACAGGCCCCCAAAGACCAGGAGTCGCCTGGATACCAAACAAAAACAGGGATAGGTGAAGAGATCACGTGGTCCTGCAACTCAGGTTTCACAACAAACAGATGCTACGCAGTAACAGCTGATCCCACTAACTTATCTCAGATTCATCATTTTAACCTATATTAAATTACTTTAAAGTGCAAACAAAATAGTTTAAATATTCCTTCAAGCAACATTAAAACAAATGTACAGATATTAAGGTCATAAATCAACAAAACATGTTCTCTACACAAACATACACATATCTATCCATCTATACATCCCTCTCTTGATACACATACATCTATACGTGTTATTTTTCGATATAAACGTTCTCAGAGTTGTAAAAAGATTAAAAGTGGAAGGTCATCATTCTGTTTGAAGTCTTTCACTTTTCAATCAAAATATTTTTAGAAAAAAAAAAAAAGATAGTTTGCTGGTATTAGTAGGTCTAGGATAATCTGAACAGGTTTAAGATGTTCTTTCAACCTAGCAAAGACCATTTTTAGGTGAAAAAAAAATGCCTAAAACCTTAGGCTGGGAGATCAGATAAAACCAAATCCTTTTTTTTCCAACAGGGGGCGAAACACTCAAAGTACTTCTCTTTAAATTTAATGCTGACTATTAAGTGAAATCATCATCATTATTATTATTATTATTATCCAGGATTTGACACTGCGTTGTTAAGCGTGACAGGTGCAAAGAAGGATGGGTGAGAGTCACGCACCATCAAAGTCTGTGTAGACGGTGTCCTTGAGGATGGCCCCGGAGCCGAAGTCAATGAGCTTCAGATCTCCCGTGCGTAAATCCACCAGGAGGTTCTCGTCTTTGATATCGCGGTGAACCACCCCGCAGCTGTAGCAGTGCCGAACCGCCTCCAAAACCTGCCTGAAGAAGCCCCGGGCGGTGTCCTCATCCAGCGCGCCCTTCTCCGTGATGTAGTCGAATAAATCTTTCACCATCTCCGGCCTCTCCATTATAATCAACCAGCCGTCGGGTCTCTCATACCAATCTATGAGTTTAATGACCCCCTGAAACGTACTTCCCACTTTCTTCAACAAAACGATCTCGAGTGGAACCAGCGACCCATTCTGGAATATAAATACGCGTGTATTAGAAACAACCTAGTTAAGAAACAACCTAGTTAATAATAGTAAAAATCAAAATAAATCAAATGCTAGTTTACTTACAATCGTAGCCCATTCGGTCACTCTCTCCTTAGAAACGTGTTTTATCGCAACCTAGAGACAAAAAGAGAAAACGCACATATGAATGCGTGACTGTGGCGCCAAACGCGGCCATGTGCTGCCACCAAAACAAAGCCAACGCGTACCGGCAATGAGTCTGAGATCCGAGTACCGGCGTACACCGTCCCAAACCCGCCGCTTCCCAGCACCGAACCCACATGATACACCTTCTCAAACGGCTCTCTTTCGGTCTTGGCTGTAAATGAAAGTGAGAAAACAGCGTTAATGTAATAATGTGATTTAAACCGCGTGTGTATAACGCACGGTTGGCAACAAAATGGCTCCATTCTCGGGTCACGGACAGGCGCGTGCCGAATAAGCATCTAGAAACGGCGGCGCGTGGAAAATTAGGAGCAAATAACTGATTAAAGACCCACTATTAAAGGCAAAATGGAAAAATATATATATTATGACATGAGACCGTCACCTACCTGCTTGAAGTTGAATTTTCACCGGTAAGTGGTCGATGTTGGTTGTGTTGCAAATATGAGAAAAAGATCCAAACTTGGAAAGTAACATTTTTCGTTGTCTTCTTAAAACGATTGTTAGTCCTTAGGATGCGTAAACGTGCTTAGGACCGGGAAACACCGGCACTCCGTCCTTCACAGTAAAGACCGAATTCCCTACAAAAAATGTATTTAGTAGTGGGACTCCGCTCGAAAAATCCCACAAATGGTCGCAAAACGATTCCGACTCCTCTTCTGCAAAGGTGTCAAACTCCGGTAATTATTCACAAATGTCCCCGCGCACCCATAGTGAGAGAGAACTGCACACGTTTGCGCTTTTGAGTCTGGTCGGCGCGCGCTCAGTTGATGTGTGTCTGTGTGTGAGAGCGAGCGGGGAGACCGTATTAACTCTTAATTCTCGTGTTTGGGCGCTGGACGTGCTGCACAGATCCTTCCGCCACGGATAGACTCAATACGCTCAAACCTAAAAACAAACACATTCATCAAAATTCTTTAGCGATCCAAAAGGGGAAAAAAATACTAAGTGGCAAAATCGAGAAAGATAATATAAATGTATGACAATTCATCAGCAGTAAAGGGATACTGTGCTGGTAAATAGTGCGTGGCGCGCATTGATACCTCGTCTGAGAGCTTTGCGCTTGGGCTATATAAAAAGACCAACCACGTTGCACAGTTTATATAATTGCACAGTGACTAATTGGAGTAATATTGCTGGGTTGTGCCTATGAAATAATAATAATAATGTTTTAATAGTATGATAATGATGTGTGTTAGCAACAAATGACCTTTTATAAATAATAATTAGAACAATAATGAATATTAAAGCATGCACTGTAAAAACAATTTTATGATCAAAACGTTATGAAATGTTTTTACATTGCTTTAACTCATCAAAATAAGTTATTCAAGTTAACCAAAATAAACAATTTTCAACTTTTTTTTACAAATTTACAAGATTCAACTAATTTTTAAGTCAGTTTAATGTGAGTTGTTGAAATGACTTAAATATCCAAGTTGATTGTACTTAAATTGAATGCAGCATCTATCTATCTATCTATCTATCTATCTATCTATCTATCTATCTATCTATCTATCTATCTATCTATCTATCTATCTATCTATCTATCTATCTATCTATCTATCTATCTATCTATCTATCTATCTATATACACTCACCGGCCACTTTATTAGGTACACCTGTCCAACTGCTCGTTAACACTTAATTTCTAAGCAGCCAATCACATGGCGGCAACTCAGTGCATTTAGGCATGTAGACATGGTCAAGACAATCTCCTGCAGTTCAAACCTAGCATCAGTATGGGGAAGAAAGTTGATTTGAGTGACTTTGAACGTGGCATGATTGTTGGTGCCAGAAGGGCTGGTCTGAGTATTTCAGAAACTGCTAATCTACTGGGATTTTCACGCACAACCATCTCTAGGGTTTACAGAGAATGGTCCGAAAAAGAAAAAACATCCAGTGAGAGGCAGTTCTGTGGGCGGAAATGCCTTGTTGATGCCAGAGGTCAGAGGAGAATGGCCAGACTGGTTCGAGCTGATAGAAGGGCAACAGTGACTGAAATAACCACTCGTTACAACCGAGGTATGCAGCAAAGCATTTGTGAAGCCACAACACGCACAACCTTGAGGCGGATGGGCTACAACAGCAGAAGACTCCACCGGGTACCACTCATCTCCACTACAAATAGGAAAAAGAGGCTACAATTTGCAAGAGCTCACCAAAATTGAACAGTTGAAGACTGGAAAAATGTTGCCTGGTCTGATGAGTCTCGATTTCTGTTGAGACATTCAGATGTTAGAGTCAGAATTTGGCGTAAACAGAATGAGAAC